CTGGGTTGCTGTGGCGGGTGTGTGGGTGCGATCTCGGTGGCTCGTCCACGCACCCCATGGTCCGCGACAGGACAGCTGGGGCCACACATTCTCCAGTTCCTCAGAGCCGGAACTGCTGCCGGCTTCCGTTCAGCCTGGCCAAAGGCGCTTGCACAGATCGGGGCAACTGGGTGGCTGCACAGGGTGCCAGGTGGTGTTAGGGGTGGGGGCTGCGGAGCTGCTCTGTGAGCAGACTGGACTCCTCTCACCCCACACTACTGCCCAAGACTCGCGCGAGATTTCTGTTCCAGAGGTGCCAGCTGTCTCACTGTCACCCTCTGAGGACAGCGCAGTCCGCGCAGAGTCCCAGGGACCCCACGGCCCCACCTGTGAGGAGCAGGGCCCTGATACCGTCTCTGTTTGAAACCCGATTTCCAAACAGAGACTTGGGGCTGGGGTTGGCATCAACACTGGGCCCACTGCGTGATGCAGCCGCCTGTGAGCCGAGCACGGCAAACTGGACGCAGATGTCCCCACGCACCCAGTGAGAGTGGCACGCTGCTGTCTGGGGCAGGGCTGAGCTGTCCAAGCTGACTTCAAGGTCCCCGTGGAGCCTCGGGTTCCAGATCCTGGGGCTTTATCTGACCCCGAGGACTGGGCTTCCAGCCTCTGCATGGATCATCCTCTCCCTTTCCAAAAGATAACATCTTGCTTCTCGGCCTGAATTTCCCTGCCTCCCTTCCAGCCGCAATCTGTGAAAACACTGTGTGAGAACACAGGACAATGGGAAGTCCTCCGGCGGACTCTGCCATAAATATGTCAGGTACATAAACCGGCCCATGATATTTATTTGGTTCTTGAGAAGGAAGTATCGGGATCCGGTAAATCACGATCATTTTTCACCATCTCGGGTTTCTCGCGCAACGCGTAGATGCTGGCGGAGCTTCTCGGATCCTGCTAATTTATTTGTAAACCATCAAAGGAAGACATAAAATATCTGTCTCCAGGCCAGCGCCTGCATGGGGAAGGGGAGCTGGGCAACGGCAGTGCTTCCCTCAGCCAGAGTTAAACACGTCCACACGGTGCCGACACGATCCTCTCCTGGCTGGACTCAGCCCAGATGGTCAGCAGAGGGGCGGCTCTCTGTCCTCTCTCACAGCGCGTCCCGTGACTCGGCAGGGACAGCCTGCTGCGTGATCGAGCGGCTCCAACGGCACTTGTGGCGACAGCAATGCTCTGGCACCCTCCGGCCCTCGTGGGTCCTGCTTCTCCCAGGCACCGCCAAGTTTACCGTGACAGAGAGCCGAGTCCCAGCCAACGTGCTGTGAGCCGCCAGACAGCGGTGCGGGGGCGGGGGCAAAGCCGGTGCACACGGGGCCACTGCAGACCAGGGCTAGGGGTGGTCTTGGCCGCAGCGACGCGGCCCTGGTCTGCGTGGCTTCGGGACCCAGAGCGTTGCACTGGGCCAGAGCTCTGCGGCGCTTGCTTCTCCCTGGCTCATTCCCATTTTCTAGTCAGTGCGTTTATGCCCCTCCCTGCAGCCCGTGCTAGGCTCACTGCCCATCCCGGGACTGGGGAGAGGTGGCCCAGCTCCCCACAACACTTATCCCTGGGCCCAGCCAGGAGCCAGGTCTGCACCCTGCTGGCCCTACACAGAGCTTGGCAGCACTCAGCCCACCTCCTGGATGCTGGACATGTAGGCACCCTGGGGGGACACCCCCTGCTGCTCTCCTAGTCCTGCACAGATTCTGGAGAACAAGTTTTGGTTCACGTTCAAATCTGATGATTCATGAAAAAAAGACACTTTTTAAAATCACCAATAGGAGCTGGAGATAGTGGCATAAGCTTGTAATCTCAGCACTATGGGAGGCTGAAGCATGAGGGTGGCAAGTTCAAGGCCAATGTGGGCAATTTAGTGATTTAGCAAGACCCTGGTTCAAAATAAAAAAATAAAAAGGCTGGGATACTGTTCCAAGTGAAGGCCCTGGGGTGCAGTGCTCAGTTGAGCCCAGAAAACTATACAAAGAGAATAAGCTATTGCCTGTCTCCCTAGAAAGCATTTACAGAACTCTGACTGACTCTCTGGCCACTGGGTTGGGGCGTCTCTGACACTGGAAACCACTGTTCTCTCCTCTGAAGGTTCCGTACCACAAATTTGCTTCTTCAGAGAAACAGGGTTTCCTGCTCTTATCGCAGGAGAGCTGTGTAACTGTCTTCACTTTCCCTCTTTGGGCAGGCTGTCAGGACACTTGGAACAAAGTTTTATGCTAAATGACACTGTTCACTGTCTGACTTCTCATACTAACCCCACCAATTCGTCTCATCGGCCCCACCGACTCCGTCTGCCTTCGCCCTGGTTACAAGCCACCCCCCAGGCCTGGAGGCAACTCAGGGCTGCAAGTGTGGCCAGCAAGGGCTTGGGTCCACCTCCAGCCCTTTTGGTTTTGAGCCATGATCTCCTTACATTGCCCGGGCTGGCCTTGAAAGTGTAATCTTCCTGCCTCAGCCTCAGGAGTAAATGGGATGCCAGGCGAGTGCTGCCGCACCCTTCTAAGGCGGTTCCTAAATCTTTTCCATAAAATGCAATTTTAAGAAAGTGGAATATTCTTTACCAACCATCAAATCTAGGGTACATACTTTGGGAGTAGAAGGAGAGCAACTAATAATTAAGTTAGGACAGCAACTTAAACAGGGATCTTTCTGGGCAAATTAAAACGTGCTGCCTCCAGGAATAAATAATAAACATCACAGATAATATGTGTTCCGTTCCCAGGTGGGGATAATTAAAGATAAACAAGTGCTTCACCCAGGGAACCAAGGTTAAGTTATGTGCTTCTCATTTATCTTGTGTCAAGCGTGTTGATTAGAGTTTAGTATTTATTATCTCTTGGGAAATTTTGTAATTAGCCTCTGTATTGGTAGGGAAAATATTGGGCTTTCTAAAATGAACTTAATTCCTCCCAAAGGGGAGGGTCCCTTAGCTCTGCAACAGTGATCACAATGGGGCTTTCGTTTGTTTGTGATTTATGGGAGTGGGGTCTGTGCTGTTGACCAGCATCGGATTTCTAATGACTCCATCTTGTTTCTCCTGAGCAGGTTCTCATAAACTTTGTCACATCTTGAGCAGCAAGCTCTTACTATGTTCACGCCTGTTTACGGAACTATTAATAAAGGCTACGTGCACTTCCAGGAAGAGGCACACACTGCTTTCTCTCTCCATTGGCTGAAAACTATTTCCAGTCTATTTTGAAAAATATGGGACCACCAAAATCCTTGATTAAACTGGGCATTCTGCAAAGACACCCACTGAAAAGTAATGGGATTCCCAATTTTAACCTAAAGGGCTCACAATCAAAAGTCAAAATGCCAGCTAGGTGTGGTAGTTCACATCTATAATCCCTGTACTCTGGGAGGTTGAGGCAGGAAGATCACAAGTTCAAGTCCAGCCTGGGCAATTTAGAACCTTCGGAGACCGTGTCTCAAAAAAATAATTAACTAAATAAAAATAAAAAGGGGCTGGGGACACATACGGCTCAGTGTGAAGGTCCTGGGCTCACTTCCCAGTACTGCCCGCGTGTGCACGCACACACACACACACACACACACACTCAGTGTGATGTCAGTTCCTTGGCTGCAAAGGTTTTCATAAATGAAGGAAGGAAAGAAAAATCTCGGTGTGACACAACTGGACCCAAAGGAAAACAGCAGAGGTTTGCCTCTGTGCCGTCAGAGCCCTGCTGCCACTCAGGCTGAGCTGTCTGTGAGGCCAAGGTGAATGCCTGGCCAGGCAGACTCACCATGGGCTTTGCACTTCCACCCAGCCCTCACTGTGCAAACAGCTCTCAGCTTGTTCTGGAAATGGAGGTGGCAGCATCAACCCCATCTCACAGCTCAGACAATCAGACAGCAAGGAGAAGCCAAAGCCCTATGGAAAATGGGAGGACTGAGGCCTCAGCCGCCCTGGTCCTGGAGGAGCTGTGCCTGCCCCAAGCCTTCCCTTCCCTTCCCCAGAGCAGGCCCTCCGCCTCCGCCCTCCCAGGCCTGCTGCTAGGCGCAGGTTTGCACTCACTCACCCAGATGCCACTGCCGCGTGCTTCTCCTCACTGTCCTGCACAGAGAGGCAGAGAGGCAGGAAAACCCAGAGCGTGGCTCCTTCCCAGGGTTTTTATACCTAGCCCACGATCCTCCGTTCCATTCTGTGACCCCCAAGTCTCCGAGTCTCAAGGGACCCAAGCTTGATCTTAAGTAACAGCCATCCACTTCCTGTCTCAGGGACGGGGTACAGGGCAGAAGGACCCCGACTTCCTTGTGGCCTCTGCCGTCTTGTGCAAGGCCTTACCCTCTAGCGAGGTTTCTCTTCTGCCCTTTCCTCCTCCACCCAAAAAGAATGTGGAAGATTGCCACCTTTTCTTCAAGGAATGCTCTGCTCCCTCGGGAAGGACCTGGCACACCAGGGCACAGCCCAGAATTTACGCCTCTGTAGCTAGCTCACTACCATTTCCGAGGGCTTCCTGTCACACGCCGAGACCATGGACCTCTCACAGCTCGAACAGGGCCACTGTTATTTTTACCTTGAAGAAAAAAGCACAGTCACTTGGAGTCACTGAGCCTTGGTGGTGGGGATTTTAACCCAGCTGTGCCTGAGTGGCCGCTGAGGATTCTGAGACCAGAGACCTCGGGGGACTCATCAGGACCCCCTAAACCCCTGCCTGCCTGTGGGGCCACACTCCCCCGGGAGAGAGTGCGACCCTGTTCCCAGCTGGGGATGCAATGCTGGTTCCCAGAAGTGCTGCTGGACCAAGGGCGGTCCTCAAAGGATGAGCTGACTTCCTTGGGAAAAATAGCAGGGGAGGGAGGCTCTTCTTTCTCCCTGGTGACAACTTGTTTTTACAAAAGCCTGCAAACAATCATTTCCGAAAGACAAAGAATGGCCAGATCTTCCAAGACTCACAGAGCCTGGGTCTCCAGTGCTGCCTGAAGGCTGTTCGGGGTAGAAGCCTCCACCCCAGCTCCGTTCACTCCACTTCCTGCTGTCCTCCCCACCCATCTCCTGGGCACAGGGTCCTCCCTGCCAGCAGCTGCACAAGGCTCAGTGGCCAGGTGCTCTGGAGAAGGCTGCCTTAGTCAGGAAGGCCCCGCCTTTTTGCACTGGATTTTTGTGAAGCTGAATTGATGTGGGGTGGGGGATCATTCTGCAGAAAACAGTCTTTTTTCTGTATGCCTTTGCTTCTCATCACAAACATCTTGCGTAATTTTCTTTTTAAAAAG